GGGCAGCCAGCTCCCTGCAATCATTGGCTGATTGCAGTCCAAAGTAAGACTCCAGATTTTAATCCAACATCGACCTTTTAATGATCTTTTAACCTGATAAAAATTTTAATACAATGTGTTAGGGTTAGGAATCCCACTGTAAAAATTCTCTATCTAAGTTAATGTACCATTAGCTCAATTAGTAAGTTGTAGCTATATTAATACAATCACATTTCTCGGTGCTTTTTTGAGCAGAGTATCATTTTCTTTTCTATTTTTCCGAGCTCCGTGAGGTACGGGCACAAATACAAGTAATGGCATTGATACAGGAAGCCTCTGCTTCTCCTAATCGATACATCCCACACCTGACACACTTATCTTCTGCAAGTGTCCTAAAGTGATTTATGAAAAACATCGGTTGAAGCAATAGGCAGAGAAATGTCGCCTATGGTAGGATTTCACCCTAGAGTCACACGAGGTATTTACTCATGGAGCAACTACATGACGCTCACATGCAGGTGATCCTGCGCAGGTGTGGCTAAGTCATTCCGGGTCAGATGTGAGCTGAGAAGTTTCCCACTGACCAAGGCGGCTTCTGTCCTGCTCACCCCTGTGAGAAGCTCCCCGTTTGTTCCTTGGTCTTCATGTCGGAAAGATGCTCTTGCTTTTGGAAATGCAGAGCTAGGGCTGTCATGGGAGAATGAGGAGACCTCATCTGTCAGGTTTGATCTTCCTGGACTCAGGTTCTTATTCTTCTCTGGATGCAAAATGATCAGGGAGGAGAATATGAGAGCAAGGGTCCCTTACCTGCCCTAGGTGTGCTGAAAAGGGTTTCCTAGTGCAGACCTCCGAGGAGGTCTCCAGGAGCCTGAGACTGGCTGAGTCAGTCCTCACTGAGGCCCAGGCAGCAGGGAAACCTGTGAAGCTTCCCTCTTGTATCGTGGTTTATCCAAAGATTTAGTTTTCATTTCAACCCCCAAATCCTGTCACTTGAAATTCTGAGCCTTGCAGAGAGGTGTTCACTGCTTCAAGTGGTAGAAAAGTCTCCAGATGAACGAGTTCCTGCATCTGTCTGCACTTTCAAATGTCTCTCATTTAGAGATCAGATATGTTTGCAGAGCAGAAACTCTAATAAAGTAGGTGTAGAAGAGTGTGTTATCTAACCAAGGGAGATGAGAGAACGTGAAAGCTTCCCAATCTCCTTCACCTCTAACCCACATGGTCCACATTTCCAAGATACATACAGTTGACGACACGGACAGCAGGGACTGAGGGCTGGAAGTTCCAGGTTTAGAGCCATAGGTTTCTTCATCTTCCTGTCCCACCAGCAGATCTAATCCCCTTAAGCATATCAGAGATAAGGTGTCCTCAGCCGCTGTCTGTCCCTCTATGTGACTCAGTGTCCAACGGCTATGAATGGCGTTTTCTTCACAATCAAATTCCGTTGTAGACTCAGCAGTGGACGTGGTCCTCTCAAGCACAGGGGTCAGCGTCAGCAGCACAGACTCTGGCCTGTGGGCACAGTGTGCACGTCTCCACGCACATTGAGCACAGCCCTACTGTGTGGAAACAGTCCCACTGTCAACAGGGCAATACTGTCGTCCTGGGGGTACTTTGTACAAAATTCTTCACAAGCCTCAACAAAGGATCCTGGTTTAGAAATGCTGGCTGGAGACAGCTGACAATCGAATATGAGCATGAGAAGTTCGAGTATTCTTCCTGGCAGCAAACTAACAGCTTCAATAGACATTCCTGGAAATCGGAAATGTGTGACCTTGGACCAGACAGGAGATCATTGTTAATTAGGGAAAGAGTGAGAGAGAAAGAGAGAGAAAGCTGAGCTGTAGCATGTGGAACAGAGGAAGTGGTGCTTAGTACACGATTCTTTCCATTTTTAACCGTTGTATGATTTCAAAATTAAACTAGTATTTTTTTTTTTGCTTCCAGAGTATGCAACATTTTTACTTTGGTAAAGTACAGATAAAATAATGTTTTATCTTTTGAAGGATTTTTAAGTGTGTAATTAAGTACAATAAGTACAGTAAAAATGTTGTGCAAACATCTCCAACCCGAGAGCTTTTTATCAGCCCAAGCAGAACCTCTGTATCTATTGGACAGCTACTTTAGAAACTTTGGACATTGTGGACAAAATGAACAATTCACACAATTGAATTAAAAAGAAAATCCCATCTGGGCGCGGTGGCTCACACCACTAATCCTAGCACTTTGGCAGGCTGATATGGGTGTATCACTTGAGGTCAAGAGTTCGAGACCAGCCTGGCAACGTGGTAAAACACCGTCTCTACTAAAAATACACAAAAAAAATAGCCGGGTGTGGTGGCAGGCACCTGTAATTCCAGCTACTCAGGAGACTGAGGCAGAAGAATCCCTTGAACCTGGGTGGCCGGGGGGAGGTTGCAGTGAGCTGAGATTGCACCATTGCACTCCAGCCTGGGCAACAAGAGCAAAACTCTGTCTCAAAAAAATAATAAAGTTTTTTTTTTAATCCAAGGGTAAACCAAAGATGCTGTTCACACTTCACCCCCAGCCTCTGTGAAATCTCAGCACGGTAAGAGGGTATGCTTCATCCAGGAACCCAGTTGAGATGCATTCCCTGGGGCCTTTTCTGGGCTATTTCTTCACAAGGAGCAGAGGAATTTCAACAGGACTGTGCTCTCTGAGACAGCTCTCTCCTCTCCTGCAGTACTAGTGATAACTTCTGGGGTCCTCGTTTTCAGTTTACTGGACTGCTCTCCACAATAGTTGAATGCTCCTGGAAGATGAACCAGGATTTGTACAGATCCAGATGGGCACTAGTGGCATTTGTAATATCTGCGCCAGATGGGGATCTCCTGGAACAGAACGCTGTGGCTGCAGGTGCACAGTTGCACCATTCAGACAGATACTGAGGTCTTGTCTATTCCCCTTAGAGAACAGGATGAGAATCCGTGCGCATTCGTGTGGGCCGGACAACAGTATACATTCACACGTTCTCTGCCCAGCATCGTTAGCTCTCCCTTCCCTGTCATGATACCATCATCGGGGCTCAGACTATCTGGACTTGCACAGTTGAATCATATATACATGATGGGGACGGTCTGTTGGAAGCTTTTGTGAGATAGATGCACTTTTGAGAGTGGGAAATAAACTAAGATGTTTCCTCCTCCGTATTAGCTGAAATTGGGAGTTTCGTTGTCTGGAGCAGCTGAGAATCTCCTATGTCAGGATCCTGTTTCAGTTTATAAGAAGACAGGAACAATCAGATACAGTTAGACACTTGGATGTACACAACAGAAATTAAGGAAATTCGCTGGTGGCCACCCCAGGTCTACAGTGGCTCATTTTGGTGACAGCTGGCCATCTGAGTTTGTGTTTCCTGGAAGTAGACCCTGAGATAATGATTTGCATGCACAGAGGATTTGGAACCAGTGAGGGAGGCATCACCTGCAGAAGGAGACCATGACCCACAATAGGGTTGTAACTGAGGCTTCAGGCATCCTCACTGGGAGATCTGGAGCTGGACGGCCCTTCTGTGCCATCTTGTATTAAGGCAGGGACTTGGGATCTTGGCCTCAGGCAGTCATCACACCACAGTCTCAAAACTGGGCCTCAATATTAGGAAAAAAAACTTTTCTGGAACCAATAGCACTTTCCAGTGAGGGCACAGCTCTGAGCTTCTAGAACCTCCCAACCGTTGTGGGTGGGTGAATTCAGAAAAGCATATCTAGGCAGATGCCACAGTGTCCCTCCTCTGCTTTTCCTGTTTAAAATCCCAGGCTTTCCTGTTGAGCTGAGCTGAGCGTTTGGGGGACTGATGTAGGATGTTTGGAAGAAGGAGTGACCCAGTCACCACCACATGGAATACTAAGGGCAAATGATGGTTGCTATACCTCCCTGATCTTCCATTCAGTTCCTATTTCCCAAGTCACTCCTGAGGCCTGAAAACACCAGTCAATTCTGATTACAGCAGCCCTAGATCCACTCCTACACCTCCTTCTGTTGGGCCAGACTGGAGGGCTGGACAAAGGATGGCCTGGAGGTCTCGGCTCCAGTAGAACTTGGCCAGACCTGCTCATGGCTTTGTCCACAGTCTTTGAGGTGCTGGAGGAAGAAGATAGCACACAGTGGGCAAGGGGTTTGCCTCTCACTTTCCCATCTGCCTGTGTCACTGTGAAACTGTCAGTATTTCCAGAAAAACAGTAATAGTCAGCCTCGTCATCAGTCAGGGCCCTGCTGATGGTCAGGGTGGGTGTGTTCCCCGGGGTGGACCCAGAGAATCACTCAGGGATTCCAGAGGGTCACTCACTGTCTTCATATATCACCAGCACAGGGGACTGACCTGGCTTCTGCTGGTACCAATCAGCATAATTTTCCCTCATACATCTCCAGAGCAGGTGAACCTGGCTGTCTGTCCTGGGAACATGGACACGGAGGGTGTCTGTATCAGCCCAGGAGGCCAAAAAGCCTGCAAGAGAGGACAGGAGAGGGGGCTTGAAGATAACAAACACATTTCCAGTGGTGTCACCCTGAGGCTGTGGCTGGGCTGAGTTCAGGATTCAGGATAGGACCAACGCAGGGACCTGTGAGGACTGAGCATGGGACAGGTCTTTGGGGCAGCACCTGTGCATAGGGTGAGGAGGGGGAGCAGGAGAGGGGTCCAGGCACTGGTGAGACACCCAGAGCTCTGTCTCCGGAGCCCACAGCACAGCTGGTCTCCCCAGGCCTCTCTTATCTCCTCTCAGGCCCATTGGGGCAGTGCATGTTTCGTGTTTATGCAAATTTACTTCTCTGGGACTCCTCATGGTGAGATGTCACTCAGCTCAGCTCTGGGGACAGCACAAGAAACTAAGAAAGAAGGGGTGAGTCCTCAACTTCCTCATCTGCTTCTCTAATAGGAAAATCAGCCTTGGCCTCCGAGACCTGTGATCACAGTCACCTTCCTGGGGATTAACAACATGTCCCAAACCTGTCCCAAAACTCTGTGTCCTGTGGTCTGTCCTAGGTCACATTGAGCAGGACTTCAGACCTTCCAGGAGCCTGGCCATGGGGCTGAGCTGAGCCCTGCTGAGAGATCACTGACGACACCTGGCTCAAAGGCAAGGGCACCAAAGATGCGTCATCTTCCTCCTCCTCCATCTCCACTCAGGATACTGCAGAATCACTGGGCCCATCATGGTAATTTTATCTACATTACATACTGTGTCCTTAGGACACTTGCTAATCATTGCATTTGGAACAGTTTTGTCATCTGGGCAACCACACGCATTTTGGATGCATCACAAGCTCTAGTCTCATTTCCCATGCGGTGCTGCTCCTTCTGTGGTATCCCCAACCCCACAGTAGGACAGCAGGTGCCATCCTCAGCTCTTTATTTATTTAATGTTAGTAATGGTATTCTTTTTTTATTGTATTTTAAGTTCTGGAATACATGTGCAGCTATTGCAGGATTGTCATAGGTACACGCATGCCGTGGTGGTTTGCTGTCTCCATCCCCCTGTCACCTGCATCAGGCATTTCTCTCAATGTTCTCCCTCCCCAACCTCCCCATCCCCACTTTCCCTCCCCAGTCCCCCAACCCCCAAGAGACCCCAGTCTGTGACACTCCCCTCCCTGTGCCCATGTGTTCTCATTGTTCAACACTCACCTATCAGTGAGAACATGTGATGTTTGGTTTTCTGATCTGTGTCAGTTTGATGAGAATGGTGGTTTCCTGATTCATCCACATCCCTACAAAGGACATGAACTCATTTTTTTACGGCTGCATAGTATTCTGTGGTGTTTGTGTGCCACATTTTCTTTGTCCACTCTATCACTGATGGGCATTTGGGTTGGTTCTAAGTCTTTGCTATTGTAAACATTGCCATAATGAACATACGTGTGCATACGTCTTTATAATAGAATGATTTATAACCCTTTGTGTATATACCCAGTAATGGGATTGCTGGGTCAAATGGAATTTCTATTTCTAGATCCTTCAGGAATCTTCCACAATGGTTGAACTAATTTACACTCCCAAAAGCTGTGTAAAAGTGTTCCTATTTCTCCACATCCTCTCCAGCAGCTGTGGTCTCCAGATTTTTTAATGATTGCCATTCTAACTGGCATGAGATGGTATCTCACCGTGGTTTTGATTTGCATTTCTCTAATGACCAGTGATGATGAGCCTCTCTTCATATGTTTGTTGGCCTCATAAATGTCTTCTTTTGAAAAGTGTCTGTTCATATCTTTCACCCACTTTTGAATGGGTTTGTTTGTTTTTTTCTTGTAAACCTGCTTTAGTTCTTCGTAGATTCTGGATACTAGTCCTTTGTCAGATGGATAGATCACAAAAACTTTTTTCCATTCTGTTGGTTGCCCGTTCACTCTCATGATTGTTTCTTTTGCTGTGCAGAAACTCTCAAGTTTAATTAGATCCCATTTCTCTATTTTGGCATTTGTTGCCATTGTTTTTGGTGTTTTAGTCACGAAGACCTTACCTATGCCTATGTCCTGATGGTATTGCCTGGGTTTTCTTCTAGGGTTTTTATGTTGTTGGGTCTTACATTTAAATCTTTAGTTCATCTGGAGTTAATTTTAGTGTAAGTTGTAAGGATGGGGTCCAATTTCAGCTCTCTGCACATGGCTAGCCAGTTTTCCCAGCACCATTTATTAACCAGGGAATCATTTCCCCATTGCTTGTTTTTGTCAGGTTTGTCAAAGATCAGATCGTTGTAGATGTGTGGCATTACTTCTGAGGCCTCTGTTTTGTTTCATTGGTCTATATCTCTGTTTTGGTACCAGTGCCAAGCTGTTTTGATTACTGTAGCCTTGTCGTATAGTTTGAAGTCAGGTAGCACATGCATCCAGCTTTGTTCCTTTTGCTTAGGATTGTCTTGGCTATGCTGGCTCTCGTTTGGCTCTGTATGAAGTTTAAAGTGTTTTTTTCCAGTTCTATGAAGAAGGTCAGTGGAAGCTTGATGGGGATAGTGTTGAATCTATAAATTACTTTGGTCAGTATGGCCATTTTCACAATATTGATTCTTCCTAACCATGAACATGGAATGTTTTTCCATCTGTTTTTGTCCTCTCTTATTTCCTTGAGCAGTGGTTTGTAGTTCTCCTTGAAGAGGTCCTTTACATCCTTCATTAGTTGTATTCCTAGATATTTTATTCTCTTTGTAGCAATTGTGAATGGGAGTTCCCTTCATGACTTGGCTCTCAGTTTGTCTGTTATTGGTGTACAGGAATCCGTGTGATTTCTGCACATTGATTTTGTATCCTGAGACTTTGCTGAAGTTGCTTATCATCTTAAGGAGATTTTGGGCTGAGATGATGGGGTCTTTAAATACACAATCATGTCTTCTGCAGATGGAGACAATCTGACTTCCTCTTTTCCTAATTGAATACCCTTTATTTCTTTTTCTTGCCTGATTGCTCTGGCTAGAACTTCTAATACTACATTGAATATGAATAGTGAGAGAGGGCATCCTTGTCTAGTGCAAGTTTTCAAAGAATGCTTTCAGTTTTTGCCCGTTCAGTATGATATTGGCTGTGGGTTTGTGGTAAATAGCTTTTGTTACTTTTTGAAATGTTCCATCAATACCTAGTTTATTGAGAGTTTTAAGCATAAAGGGCTGTTGAACTTTGTCAAAGGTCTTCTCTGCATCTATTGAGATGATCATGTGGCTTTTCTGTTTGGTTCTGTTTATGTGATGGATTACATTTATAGATTTGCATACATTGAACCAGACTTGCATCTCCGGGATGAAGCCTACTCGATTGTGATGGATAGTCTTTTTGATGTTCTGTTGCATTCGGTTTGCCAGTATTTGGTTGAAGATTTTTGCACCAAATTCTGAGTTGAAAATTCTTTTCTTTAAGAATGTTGAATATTGGCCCCATGCTCTTCTGGCTTGTAGGGTTTCTGCCAAGAGATCCACTGTGAGTCTGATGGGCTTCTCTTTGCGGGTGACCTGACCTTTCTCTCTGGCTGCCCTTAGCATTTTTTTTTTTTTTTTCATTTCAATCCTGGTGAATCTGATGATTATGTGCCTTGGGATTGCTCTTCTTGAGGAATATTTTTGTGATGTTCTCTGTATTTCCTGGACTTGAATGTTGGCCTGCCTTGCCAGGTGGGAAGTTCTGGGTAATATCCTGAAGAGTGTTTTCCAGCTTGGATTCATTCTCCCTGTCACATTCAGGTATACCGATCAAGCATAGATTAGTTCTTTTCACATAATCCCATATTTCTTGGAGGCTTTGTTTACTTCTTTTCACTCTTTTTTCTCTAATCTAGCCTTCTTGTTTTATTTCATTGAGTTAATCTTCAATCTCTGATATCCTTTCTTCTGATTGATCGATTTGGCTATTGAAACTTGTGTATGCTTCATGAAGTTCACATGCTGTTTTTTTCAGCTGCATCAAGTCATTTATGTTCTTCTCTAAGCTGGTTATTCATCTCATAACCTTTTTTCAAGGTTTTTAGTTTCTTTGCATTGGGTTAGAACATGTTCCTTTAGCTGAGAGAAGTTTGTTATTTCCCATCTTCTGATGCCTGTTTCTGTCAATTCGTCAAACTCATTCTCCATCCTGTTTTGTTCCCTTGCTGGTGAGAAGTTTTCATCTCTTGGAGGAGGAGAGGCATTCTGGTCTTTCATGATTTAATTCTTTTTGCACTGGTTTCTTCCCATCTTAGTGGATTTATCTACCTTTGATCTTTGAATTGGTGATTTTGAATGGGTTCTCTGAGTGGACGTCCTTTCTGTTGATGTTGAAACTCTTTCTTTTTGTTTTTTAGTTTTCTTTCTAACAGTCTTGTCCCTCTGCTATGGGACTGCTGAAGGTCCACTCTAGATGTTGCTTGCCTGGGAATCACCAGTGGGGGTTGCAGATCAGCAAGTATTGCTGCCTGATCTTTCCTCTGGTAGCTTCGTCCAGGAAGGGTACCCCCCAGGTGACAGCCAGAGCTGTCCTGTATGAGGAGTCTTTTTGGTTATACAGGGTTTAGGGAGCTGCTTGAGCAGGCAGTCCATTCCTGGTCTGCCTGCAGAGGCGCTGCTGGGCTGTCATGGACTCAGTCTAGCTGCTGTGTAAGCTTCCTCTGGCTTTTGTTTACACAAGTAGGTTTAGACCCACCTCAACAATGGCGGACGCCCTTCCCCTCACCGAGCTCGATCATCCTGATGTGCTGGCTGCAAAAATCTTAATTGAGAGGTCTCAGTTTGCTGGTTTCTGAGGGGTGGGAACTGCCTAGCTGTATCAGCTGTCTCCCTGCTTTGAGCTCCCCCTCCTTCTGGAGAGCAGGTAGCTCTGTCCTGCAGGCTCTGTCAGTGCTAGTCAAAACATTCACCCAGATTCCTGCCCTGCCACGGTTTGCTCTCCTTGGGCTACACCCACTGTCCAACCATTTCCATCGAAATGAACCTGGTACCTTGGCTGGATGTGGAGATCACTCTTCTTCTGCATCTCTCTCACTGGGACTGCACTCCAGAGCTGTTCCTATCTGGCCACCTTGGTGGAATCAGCTCTTCCCTTATTTATTCACTTTTTCTCATCAATGTTTTATGTAAACTTGCAAAAGCACCAGATAATCACACTGGACTGTGAAGATAACTTTAGGGTCCATTGTGTCTCTGAGGATCCCAGGGTCATGGTCTGCACAGGACATGAGCTCCAAAGGGTGGGTGGTCAGTAGTTCCTCCAGCCATGCAGATCCTGTCACAGATCAAAGGACAGCCCCACTGGGGCCACATCTGCACATTGTCATTGTCCAGCTGGAGCCTCTGGAGTTCCTGGAGGCACAGGCCCATGGTCAGGTGGTCTACAGTCTCGGAGACTTTCCGTGGACAGTGTTTTCAGGCTGGAATTCCTTAAATTCAGTGAGGTTGTTTCCATGTGTGGAAATTCAAGTGGAAAGTGACTGACGTTGGTGACTCTTTCTTCCGTATTTTTTATGTCTCCTCTTTACATACTTGTTCAATCCTGTATCCTCATGAACAAGTGAAATAGAACAGAGTTCTAGAAATTCCTTTTGTGTCCTTGCCTACGAAGTCTATCATGTGTGCAATTTTATTGCCACTTTGGATTGATTTATTTTTCTGCATGATATATATAAAACATAGATTTTCTGGTTACCTCACAGGAAATATTGACAGGATGAAGACATTGCACATTTTTCCTGCTGGGTTAAGGATTCT